TGAGCACTGTGTGCAGTCTTGGGCACTTCAGCATAAGAAAGATGTCAAACTACTAGAACGTGCCTAGAGGAGGGCAGCCAAGACAGTGAAAGGTCTCAAGCGAAAGACTCAGGAGGAACAGCTGAGGTCACTTGGATTGTTTAAGCCTGGAGGAGAGAAGGCTGGGGAGTGACCTCATCACTGAGAGGTGACCTCATCACACCGCACAGCTCCCTCAAGGGGGGCAGCGGAGGGGAGGTGCTGATCTCCTCTCTCTGGTCACCAGCGATAGGACACGACGAAATGGAATGAAGCTGCATTCGGGGAAGTTCAGATTGGACATCAGGAAAATGTTCTTCACTGAGAGGGCGGTTGGACACTGGAACAGGCTCCCCAGAGAAGCACCAAACCTGTCAGAGTTCAAGGAGCATCTGGACGAAGCTCTTGGTCATATGGTTTAGTTTTAGGTAGTCCTGTGAGAAGCAGAGATTGGACTTGATGATCCTTACAGATCCCTTCCAACTTGAGATATGTTATGATTCTATGACCCAGTTCTGCAGGAAGTGCCATCAATCACCAAGGCTTCTGTCTGATCCTAATTCCAATAGATCAAGGCAAGTTAGTGTTTACTATTCCTTCTTCATTCATGTCACGTGGTTTCTGAAACACTTCAAAACCAAACACCAAACCACCAAGCTATAGTTTAAATTCAAGAATATCTACAGACTAAAACAGTTTAATGACTACATTTACACTTAGAGAGCCAGAAAGTCAGAAAACCAGACTGCTCAGTCCGCCCTCTGCTGGCCTTTCTGGATTGCAGTTTTCCCTTTAAAACAAGGCTTTCACGGACTGAGATGATCAAAATGAACCATCAAGGCTTATGCCAAGCAAATCCACCGGTGAGGAGTACAACAGTACCTTGATCCTCATTTCTGAAGAATGATTCAGTGAACAGCTCTATGTGCAGAGATTAATATCTTGATCAATACACTTTCTTGGAAACAAATGTTGGATAAATACATGTGTATTTCTGGCAATTTACAAAAAAAAAAAAACCAGCAAAAGAAACCAGCACACTCCATGCACTTACCTGTAGAACGTTTCATTTCTCCTGCTACATTACTATAGCCAGAAAGGAAACTGATAAGAGACACACTGAAGATACTTCTCTATTGTGCCAACATCCTTTAAAGCTACTGCAGCAACGCTCATCTTCCTAAAGGCACCTTTTTATTTTCCATTACCTTACAGAATAAATTATTGCATATGAAAAAAACACATCAAGCATGACGCTTAGTTCCAACAATTCTGAATTAAGTTTCCCCCCAACTCACTCTGCAATTGCATATACTTTAATGAAATCAATACAAAACTTTCTGTACAACACAGCACGTAAAAGCACGTGTTCAGAATTCATTTCTTGGATTATTTGTGGCTTCCCACTCAACTTTAAAATTCTATTGTATCCAACAGGAGTAATCATTAGTTGAAGCAAGAGAGTCTACTGTATTTTGCACGCATGGCAAGAAGCACGTGGACAAAAGGACTAGGTGAAAGTAGCACCTGGCATTCACTTTGCAGGAAGGAGGTTCTCTCAGAGATTACATATAGGAAGACTAATTACAGAAATCTTATTTTATTAGGAATACACTGCAGGAAAAAAGATCCAAAAAAGTCAAATATCCTGACAGCGTAATTAGGGATTAAAGTGTGATACACAGTTCCATACTTGCCAACAAGTAAGTCTAAAATAGCTACTCTTTATTTTTTTTTAACTATGCCTCTTGCAAAGCAAAGTAATACGAAGAAGGTAATTTTCCCCAAACATATCCTTAAATTTATTTATTTATTTATTTTAAAATTCTTCTAAGAAAGTAGATGTCTTCAAGGTATTTCTTGCTTGGGTATGTAAAACAAGATGTTGACAGAAGGCATTTGAAATAATAAAATATGAAAAGTTGTATTTTTCACCTGTGAAATTTTTACTTCAAGTCAAATCTGCCTTAAATGTAAGCATAACCATGTCATATGATGTGCTTTCTTGGCCATTTTATCCATTGCCCTCATCCCCAAATCCCTAAATTCTTCAGGAAGATATGCAATGCTTTATTTTAATCTGTATGGGGAACTATTTGTAGTCTCACTTTTGCTAAAGTGGTAGATGTTGCCCAACGGTACAATTACTCTGAGTTAAGGAGATCTGACTGCTATCACACGTCTGAATTCCAGAGATGTCCTTCGCAGGCTGATGACTGACAAATCACATCCATCCACCTTTATGTCAAACTACAATGCTGGCAAGCGGGCAGGTATAAAAGAACAGGCATTAAAATTCATATTAGCAGTACTGAGATTTGCCTAGTTCAAAAGTTGTAAAGGTTTATTCAACCTGGAGAAAAAGCTGCACTGTCTTCACCCATTTATGACGAATAGGAAAGTATAATGGATGCATTGGGACCCACGAATGAGATGCGATAAACATTCTACACCCACATACAACAGCGTCTTCCAGTGACTCCAAAAGCAAAACCCCGACTCGCACTATATGAATGCAGGTACGCAAAACTATGGTTGTACCCAGCAGTCACACAGCCCTTACTGCCACCAGCAAAGAGCAGAGCGCACAAATGCTGGGTAGCACACAACACCACTAGAGCATCGAGTACAAAAATGAAGTACAGTGTATCAGATTTTAAATCAGTCTGCAAATTCCCCTGGGTGGAGCAGATTCAGCTATCCAAACAACGAGGACTACTTGTACATCATTAAGGACAATAAATAAACTGGTGCGTTTTTTCCCTTCAAAGTACTATGGGAGTTGCAAACAACTGCAAAAACTCATGGTTAACCATTTAAAATCGCAAATTAATCTTTAGCATCCAATCTTGAACATAATTTATTTATCAGTGAGAAACTCCTGGAAATACAGAATGGATTATGTCCATTATTGCACAGTAAACTAGATGTGGTAATCAAAATCTCTCCCTACTGTTAGATTTACTGTTTATGAAATTTATGATATCAGAACAAGCCAAACTCATTTAGCAAAAACTCTTAACTCAGTACTAACTAAAGGTTCTGTCTTGCAATTAGCTTTTTAATCATGGTAGCAGCTCAACAAACAGGGCCTCCAAATCCTTAGAAAAGGAACTTGCACAAACTAGCATCATCTGGGAAACTCCCAGAATTCTATTGGTCGTTTACAGTCTCACCAGGTGCTGTAAATGCAGTTATTTCATTACAAACAAATGCAACACATGGGTCCATATTTACATATAAGAAAAAACCCAATCTACTTCTGTAAATGTAAACTTCAGGTCACTGCACTTAAGCCTCTGATTACAATTCAACACACACCAATGATGAAACACTTTCTACTTACATCTTTATTCTATCCATGCAAAGAACAGCATTAATCAGCAAATATTCAGTGTGCAATATTTGACCTTTCGCACTGGAACCTCTACAAGATTTAAGAGATCACAGTTAGTTTTTCATGACAAAACTGCTGGCACAATTAATTTGTGTTTTAAGTTAATCACAGAGCACCAAAAATATTTTTTTTTTGTATTTCATGGTACTGAAGAAGATATCTGAGTTGAGGCAACTTCTAAATTTAAAAAATGTAATAGTCTCCAAATTAAGTCAAAGACAATTTTTACACAAAATGTTGGTTCTACACTAAACGTTCGTTCCACCAAAAACAAAGCCAATGATGCTGAGATTCCATCCTTTACTGAGAATGCATTTATTCAGACCAAGTTTATTCTCCTTTCTACCTCTGTGCAAGGCATTACACTTTGCAGTTATCTTAAAATACCGGAAAAAATAGATGCACCTACAGTTTAAATATGTTCTAATGAGTTCTAATTATACAAATGAAAATGTGCATTTCACCAGATTACCTAATGTTTTAAGAAATTACTTTTTTATCTATGACTTAGTCTCTCTCAATTTCCTGTCATGTCTTTTTCCAACTCATCTCCACAGTCATCTCGTTTTCTTCAATGTGGTTTACAGTAAAGGAGAAGATAAACGGTTAAATCTGTGATGTAAACCAAAACTTTTTTGGTTTGTAATGTCTTTGCTCTTACATAGAAAGCCATTGAAATATCCGTCAAAAACTTACAAACTTTATTTCAATCTAATTTAGATGGCAGAACATGCCAGAAAATTCTTCTGAAAACTGAAAAACTTTCAAACGCAGCACCATAATTTAGCTACTCAGTTATCTCAGTATTGACCAGGCCACACAGCAGCACTTTGCTCAGTTATGATTCTTGCTTTCCTCACTCTAAAAGGCAGATACTTAGCCTTTCAATAAAGAATGCCATCTCAGCACAGGAAAGACCCCACCTGCAGTGCTGCATCCAGCTCCGGGGCCCTCAGCACAAGACAGACACAGACCTGCTCGAGCAGGTCCGAAGAAGGCCACAAAGATGCTCAGGGGCTGGAGCAACCTCTGCTGTGAGGACAGGCTGAAAGAGTTGGGGTTCTCTTCAGCCTGGAGAAGAGAAGGCTCTGGGGAGATCTTAGAGTGGCCTTCCAGTGCTTAAAGGGGGCTACAGGAAAGGTGGGGAGGGACTCTTGATCGCGGGGTGTGGTGATAGGACAAGGGGTAACGGTTTCAAACTGGAAGTGCAGAGATTTCAACTAGATTTAAGGAAGAAATGTTTTATGATGAGGGTGGTGAAACACTGGCACAGGCTGCCCAGAGAGGTGGTAGAAACCCCAGCCCTGGGAACATTCCAGGTCAGGTTGGACGGGGTTCTGAGCACCCTGATCCAGCTAACGGTGTCCCTGCTCACTGCAGGGGAGCTGGACTAGATGGCCTTGAAACGTCCCTTCCAACCCAAACAACTCTATGATTCCCTTTTAAATTTCATAAAGTTTTCTTGAGTTTTCCTTTACAGAGGAGATTGACTTTTTTACACAAATGTTACGTGCCGTTGGTACTAAGCATTTAAAAACATGTAGTATGTTAAAGTCTTTTAGCTTTATGGTATAAAAGCTGATCATTGCAAAAGACTGAAAGCATGAAAATTAATAGGTTTTCACTTTAATTCAATAAATTAAATATTTTAACTTCCATCGCACAGTAACTACTCCTCTATTCAGAAAAACAATCCTAAGTACGCAACAGTTATCTGTTGTCAAAACATGACAACCAAGTTCAACACAAGGCAAGTCGCACTGGATTCTCTATGTTGGCTTTCAAAGTCTCCAGAAACTTGGAAGCCAGTTCATCATCTACCACCCGACCATCACTTGAAAGAGTCATTGTCATGAGCTGATGCTGCTTAAGTTTCTCATTCCCTTCTTCATCTTCCACAATCTTGAGCTCTGGTCTTGCTCGGCCCACAGCTAGGATGCAGGCCTGAGGAGGGTTTATGACTGCAGTGAAATCATTGATGCCAAACATGCCCAGGTTGGAGATACTAAATGAAAGAGAAAAGAGTTACCAGGAATGTCAGAAATTATATATCCCCTAGAAGAAATAATCTATATTCAATGACTGCTGTGACCTAATTCTCTCCCAAGACCAAACCCATTAACTTTAAAATAGATCTGAACTGGATTTCAGCTGGGCACATTCAGACTCTCAAGGGTTTGGGATTTTTGTAATTACAACTAACGTACCTTTTAAAAAGTCCCATTTCTTTACAGTAACATATCCTTGCATTGCATGCACTAAGGCAGAAAGTAGGACAGGGAAGCGATCTCTTCAAATAAACTTTGTCTGTTCCTGTTCCAAGCCAGATGTCTTTTAGATTAAGCCTTGCAACTTTAAGTTACAATGGATGCTGATAACCAATACAATTTGGGCATCTAGGTATCACTCAGGCCCAGGAAAGCCTCATCATGCCTTTCTCCCTTGAACATTTTTGTCTGTGTCACCAGCTGGTAAGTGATATATTAGGAAAGTCCTGGACTCCTTTGCAACAGACTGTCTATAAAGAAAGCTGGCCCACCACCTCCTGCTTTTTGTTATAGTTACTGCAAGGAGTGGGGAAAAAAAAAAAAAAAAAAAAAAAAAAAGGTTAATCTGTACAGAATCATAGAGTAGCTTGGGTTGGAAAGGACCCTTACAGATCATCTAGTCCAGGCCCCCCCACAGCAAGCAGGGACATCTTTAGCTAGATCAGGTTGCTCAGAGCCCCGTCCAACCTGGCCCTGAACATTCCCAGGGATGGGGCTTCTACCACCTCTCTGGGCAGCCTGTGCCAGTGTCAGGTCCCATAGACTTATGTATGTTCAGATTCCTCAGTGATCACAAACCTGATCTTCTCTTTCCGTGGGAGGGACTTTGCTCCTCCAGTCCCTGCCTTGCGGCCTGTCCACTTGAGAGGTGTGGGAAGAGGGCTTGCCAGTGAAGACTGAGGCAAAAAAGTCATAGAGTACCTCAGCTTTCTCCTCATCTGTTGTTACCAGCTTCCCAGTCTTGCTCATCAGAGGGGTACAAGAGCTGCACCTTGGCCTTCCTGAGCCCACGCCCGCACAACTGGGCAGCGTCCCTATACTCCTCCCGGGATACCTGTCCCTGCTTCCTCTGCCTGTGCATTTCCTTCTTGCCCTTAGTTTCTCTAGCAGGTCTTGACTCAGCCGTGCAGGTTTCTTGCCTTCCTTTCCTGATTTCTCACATCTGGGGACAGAGAGCTCTTGCACTCTATGGAAAGGGTCCTTAAAGATCCGCCAGCTCTGTTCTGTGCCCTTGTCCCTGAGGGCCATTTCCCAGCAGGTCCTACTGACTAACTCCTTGAACAGCTGGAATTTTGCTTTCCTAAAATTCAGGGTCCTGACTTTACTCTTTGCCTGACCTGTATCTCTCAGGACTGCGACCTCCTGTCTCCAGTCTTGTTGTCACTGATTAGCCCACTTGCATTGGTGACCATCAGGTCCAGTATTGCATCCCCTCTGGCAGAAGGACTTAAGAAGTTATCCTCAATGCATTCCAGAAGTCTCCTGGATTGCCTATAGCTCACCATGCTACTTTTCCAGCAGATGTCGGGGTGGCTGAAGTCCCCCAGCAGGACGAGAGCCTGCAAGCATGAAGCCTCCTGTAGCCAGAGCAAGGCGGCTTCATCCATAGGCTCCCCTTGATTGGGTGGCCTGGAGCAGATACCAACCACAAGGTTCTTTTTGTTACCTCAGTCTCTAACCCTTACCCATAAGCTTTCTACGTTCTTGTGGCTATTCTTCAGAGACAGCTCTTCACACTCTATCCATTTCTTGATGTAGAAGGCAATGCTTCCGCCTCTCTTTCTTCACCTGTCCCTTCTGAACAGCTGGTAGCCATCAATAGTCTTGGGATTCGTCCCACTAAGTTTCAGTAATGGCAACTAGGTCGCAGCTTTCTAGCAGCATGGTGGCTTCCAATTCCTCCTGTTTGTTGTCCATGCTGAGTGCATTGGTGCAGAGGCACTTCAGCCAGGCTGTCGGCCATGTCACCTTCCTGGACAAACACCTCTTAATTCCTTTGAGGTATTTCATTGGCGTTTCCCTGTTGGCTCCTATTACCTCAGGAGCCCCTGGCTCATCTCCATAAGACTTCAAGTGTGCTCCATTGCAGCCAGCACATCTCAGAGCAACAGGCTGAGGGCCCTTGCTAGCACCCCATCCCTCCAACCTCGGTGTGTCACCCCACAGCTTATCATGGGCAAGCCTGATACTATCCCCCTCCCCTTTCAAGCTTAGTTTAAAGCTCTGTCAATGAGCCCCACTAGCTCCTGAGCAAAGACCCTCTTCCCCCTTTGAGAAAGGTGAATCCCATCTGATGCCAGCAGGCCTAGTGCCATGTAGGCCATCCCATTATCGAAAAACCCAAAACTGTGGCAGTGACACCAGCCGTGGAGCCATGTATTAATAGACTGGGTCCATCTGTTTCTTCCAGTGTCGCTGCCCACAACTGGAAGGACAGAGGTAAAAATAACCTGTGCTCCAGATTCCTTTACCAACCATCCCAAGGCCCTGAAGTCTCTTTTGATTGCCCTTGGACTACATGTTGCAGCTTCATCACCACCCATGTGAAAGAGCAGTAGTGGGTAACGGTCCAAGGGCCATCCCAGGCTAGGGAATCTCCTGGTGATGTCCTTCACCCAGGCACCAGGAAGGCAGCAGACTTCCCTAAGAGGAGGGTCTGTCCGGCATATTGGACCCTCTGTTCGCCTCAGAAGGGACTTGCCTACAACTATAACCCGTCTTTTCTTCCTCATGGAGGTGGCCATGATATGGGAGGTAGGCCTTTCTGACCTTGGCAACACCTCTGGTGTAGATGGACCATCTTCCACATCATCCATTGACTGGCCTTCCGCATTCAGAGCCACATACCTGTTGTGCAGAGGCACCTGGGAAGGCGAGGTGGGCAAGTAGGGGGTTTGCCTGCCACCCTGAGCATGGACTTGCCTCCAATCCTTCCCTTTAAGCTGCTGCCTTCAGCCTGGCAGAGGAGAATACAGGGTCCCCTCGATCTTGTTGTTTTCTGGTAGCTGTTCCTGTTTCTGACTCAGGGACAGCAGAGCACAGCTCCACCAGTTTATCTCTTTCTCAGATTCCTTGATACTCCTGAACTTTTCCACTTTCTCTCGAGCTCTGCCACCAGGCGGAGCAGATCATAGATCCAGTCACACCACACACGGCAGTCCTCACTACCGCCACCTCTTTACTAGTGAAATGCCCAGTTATTCACACTCAGGGGCCATCTGTGTTGATGAAGATATCCAAGCCTCCGCTGCTTGTTTCGATACATTTTTTTCTGCTGAAAGGCTTAAGAGTTTGTTTTTTTTTCACCACTCCTCCAGAATGAGAGCCATGTACTCCAGACAGTTGCAATCCAGGCACATTAATACACACCACAGCAATGTTGCTGCAGAAGACTGTAGTATCACTCTCATCAGAAGCTGTCTATACTAGAAGATATCATTAACATAAGCATTCAGAATTAGCTTCTAAAAAAAATTACAAAAAGTGAGCTAAGCTAAAGATTATATAACAAAAAATGTGGCTCAACGATACTGTATCATAAAATACAGTACATCAGAATTTTTAGAAATTTGGGGAGTGTAAAAAGTCAGCTAAGAAATTAATTGTGCAACTGTGCCACCACATTTATGCTAGTGGTTTTACACATGCCATTTATTTCTCATCATTGAGTCCACTAGCTCTTTTTGCAGAATACACTTTATAGAAAAAATATTTACTAAATATATGCTACTATTTAAAATTAAGCTACTCTACTTTTAATGTTTCAATTAAAAGTAAACTATAGGAGTTAATACTACAACTCTGCTGTAACTTTTTTTTTGCCCCCCCTAGAGACATTCCTCTGAAGAGTGAATTGAAGACAAACCGGACATCAGTCTGTCGCAACACCTCTGCCAAACAACTCCTTTTAAAGTTTTAGTTTTAAAACTATTTGCAATGGGTTTTCCTAACTACAGAATGCAATTTAAAAAAACAAAACAAAACAAACCACAAAAACAACCAACATGCTTCTGCAACTGGGAAAAATTAAGTGCAAAAATAAAAGTCAGATTAGTCTCAGTACGAAAACTGTGAATTTCACACCAGGGTCAGAAGAAATAAGCCTGTACCAAGTTAATTGTTCCCCCCTGATACAGGGCACTCAGCCTGGGTTTGGCCCTCAGAATCATCACATGCAGTTTCATCCTAAATGGAGCAAGATTTTAAAAGGCAATGCATTAACACACGGTGTTAATAAAACAGTTCTGAACCCACACTGCATGTATTAGATGTTGCTAGAGAGTTTTACCTAAAAGATCCTCCCTGGTACTCCTCTGGTAACAGTTTTCCATCTCTTGCTTTCTTTGCCAGAGCCTAAGGAAAATGAAAGGAAAAAAAGAAGGGGAGAGAGGAATGAAATTAGATTGTCGGAATAGACTAATCTTCAGTATCATACAGCCATTAAAGTCATCTGCTTCGGATTTAGGGGAGCACCCCAGCAACCTTGCTGTTGTAGCTGCAGTGACTTTGCAGAGAGACTAGGACACAAAACTCCATTTCCCCAATGATACTGGCTGTTCAATAAAAGCTGTTCTCTCGCCTTACAAACCTTGCTCCAGTTTTCACCATTCTCCCTGGTGTTTTTAGGTGATAAAAATATCTACCAAAATACTGATGAGACAAATTCACAGTATTCTTATTTGTTGAAAGAAACTGCCATACACCACTTCAAAACTTTCTAGCAGATTGAGAGAATGTATTTCTTCCAGCTAAGCGTCAACTACCTTGAAGACCACCCCTCCTGTGACCTCCATTTCATTTGTGAGACTTTTCTATTTCTAAATATAACAGAAGAAACTGCCCACAAACTTTTTGTTCAAAATACAGCCCGAGAAGTTCATACTACATTCTAAGATAAGACCACAGAGAAAGAGAACCTTATCCCCACCTAGGATGTTTCTAGCTCAGAAGTCTCCTTAGATGGAAGCAGTGGGAATCAGGATGAGTAACTCTTATAGTAGTGGCCACATAAGGAAGAAATGACTGTGTGGACCTCAAGAGAAATGGCACCCATTGGTGGGTCAAGAGCCCATTATTCAGCCACCAAACAATACCTAACACCCCGGGAGGACCCTATGGAAAAGGTGGTGACTGGAAACGTGTTGGATGACTTCTCCATTAGCAGCAACCTTTTCAAAATCAGGAGCTCTTCAACTGACAGCAGAGACTGGAGGGGGGATATAGGCAGGACAGATGATCCATCCTATTCATACAGAATACATTTAGTGGTTTTGGCTGGTATCGTACTTATTGCACAGGTGGAAGAGCCCACGGAAAATGTCATGTTGTGACAACCACAGCATTATGACATTTTAAGACAAAAATAACTGTCTCCAAAAGCACAGTCAGGGAAATAGACTCAGATCTGCTTCTGGGAAGACTGAGAAAAGCAACACATATTTTCCCGAACATATTTCCTTTAAATATGTTAGCAAAATTTCAGTGGAAGTGAATAAAACCCCAAAACATCCACTTTATCACAACAGGAAAATGGGATAAATCACATTTGTGAAACTTTCTTGGAGAAGATTATTCCATGAACCCCCTCTGTTTTCTAGGAGTTTTTAACTCCCTGTTTAGGAACTCTACCACTGTTTTCTAGGATTTTTTCTATGTTCTTTCTAGGAACCAACCTTCCACCCTGCCGCCCCTTTTTTTTAAAAAAATTTTTTTTTTTTTTTTTCATTGCTAGATTGCTTTCCAGGAATTGCACGTTCTGCTTTCCAGGGATTTTGTACATGCATTCTATTAATAGTCTGTCACGCACTCAATTTGATCTACCAAGAGGTAATTTCTATGAAAACTCAATACTGCCTTTAAGGACCAGAGTCAGTAAATGGAAACTATGGTTGAATTGACTTCTTGTTTGCACATGGGTGGAGGCAGAGTCACTACAAAGTAAAATTCTGCACAGCTCAAGCAGTTTGTTAGTAGTCATAGCTGTGACATGGATTAATCCCCTTTCAAGTTGTAATATAACTCTATTGGTCATGTAAACAACTGTCTTCCCTGCACACATTTCTGAACATCTTTCAGGCAAGGGTTCTGAAATGCCATGGTAGTCTAATGACTGCAACAACTTCGGCTCAGAAATAAACACCAAGAAGTTTAAGAGAATCTCATTCCAATGAATTGCCCACTAAATAATTCAAGCTTACACCATGTTTTACAAAGCTTTTGACATCCTTATTATGAATTTAAAAATTAAAAGGATTCACTGAATTTTATTTTAGGCTTTTATTCATCTCTGAATAATTAGTGAACCTGAAGACAATAGCCATGTGAACAGTGTTCATACAATAGGGCAACACGAGCATAACGCATACATGCAATTGCATTACTTGGAGGATAAGAATATGGTGCCAGCCAGGATGCACATGCCCTGGGAAGAAGTTTAAATTGACATGCAGCAGAAGGGGACACAGGCAATCTATGCAAAGAATGTGCCTGCCAAACTACAGGGAGACTGGTAGAGAAGCAGCTGCAGTTTCAGTTTGTGCCTCCCACATTTATTCCAGTAATTTAGTGAAGAAGTTGAAAGGCAAAATTACGTCAGTGTGGAGACCCGCAATCTATGTGACCCGATGACTTTCATAGTGAGTAGTGTGACCTGTGTTACATACATTCCATCTGAAATGAGAGGGGAATGCTTACTTTACCACAGCCCTATTAAATGTGATGCAAGCATACATTACCATCATGGGAAGTGCAGGACACTAATTTATGGTACGAGAGGTTTGTAACACTGCATCACAGTATCACAGGTATTGGGGATGATAATGAAAGCACAACCTATACTTCATTTCCCGTATCGCTTTTCTTCTGGTCATTCCACCACTAATCACAGAATAATGTAACAATCTCAGTTGACCTTCCTCCTTGGCTTGTTATTGCATTAGTGAAAGGATTTGCTTTCACAACACACTCAACATGAAGTAAGCAATAAGGACTGGAAAAATCTTTAAAACATCCAATTATGAATGTTTTGTGGCATGACACTTATGCCTTTTTCTGCTACAACGTTGTTGATTGTTCCCCACCAACACAGACTATTATGATTTCTGTAGTTTTTGGTAAAAGACAAAAACTTACAAAGTGCAGCTCGTGTCTAGTTTTGGGACAGTATTATGCCCTAGCACCACCTGCGTTGCATTCCCCACATATTGTAGGCCTTTGATTAGCACTCATTAAATGACAAAAAAAGGCTTGTGTTGGGGCATTTCACCGCTCACCACAAAACACTACTTCTGTGGCTGGCAACAACTGCCACAGATTCAAGTCACTCTAATTGGCTCCTGGTCTATGCAAAATACCACTCATTAGTCTGAGGACTTTAGCGTTAGCTTTTGGGTGACATTCTGAACTGAACTGCATATTGGAAAAATGCAGACAGAAGTAAGTGCCACAATATAACTGCACAGAGGGCAACAAGCAGCTACAAGCATATTTCCAGGAAAGCTGGGGAGAGGGGGGGGGAATCCTCCCACCCAAACACCAGAAATATTAAAGAACTTAACATTATCTAGCTTTCTTATGAGGATTAAAGAAATACAATTGTATTCAACTGCAGAAGTCTGTACAGGCTCCTTTTCAAACAGTCTGGCCAGCATTCAACTAACAGGATGGCTAAGTTCATGTTAATTAGAAATAAACAGAGTCACAAAATTAGTAATAATTTTGGAGTCTAAGGAATGCTGAAACTGCTTTAGATCCATTTTGAAACGGCCTTTGTTATTACTGATGAGTATATGGGTCATACTACATTTTCTGCTACAAAAAGCTACATAGCTACTATACTCCTCAGTCTACTGTACATTTCAGACCTACCTTTGCAGAGGCAGCAATTTCCTTTATTCCCTTGGCAGCAACATCTTTTATGATTGGTGTAATGAGACCTCGGTCTGTTGCCACAGCAATAGAAATGTCAATGGACTGCAACTGCCTGCAGACTTCCCCATGCCAGGTTACATTGACATCTGGCATTTGCTACAAGAGAAAAAGAGTAAAAGACAACAGCTGTTAAAAGAACAATAGTGAAATCAATTATCAAGAAAAAGAAAAATCCTTTAAGACACATAGCTACACACAGGCATTCACCAAATTAATTAGTGCATCACAGACTGCTCTCTGTAAATGAAGGCAAAAGAACGGGTCACATCTGTCATCAGGACTGCTACAAGCAAGACAAAGAAAAAAAAAACAAACACAAAAAACCCTGTGAGGGTCTAAGAATAGATGTACGTGATTAGCTTGCATCTATTTTATTGTATTTAAACTTACTTTGTCAAAAAGCATGAATGTATGCTTCAGGAACTAAAATGGCAGGACAGCCAGAAGGTTTTGTGTTGCTGCTGGAAAAAAAAAAATCATCAAAAGCCTACAAATTCCTCCAGGAGTCACTGATACCACCTCGCAGATGCCCAGCATGCAAAGCTACACAGCAGCATCACTTCTCCTCCAAAATAAATCACAGGATATTGACTTAAAAAGCATGGAAAGGGACATCCTACTATGCCCATGTGTTGTTTTCCATTCGTGTCTCAAGCATGACTCTCAACAAAGGAAGCTATAAACAGAATATGCTGCAAGTACACTCACTGTTATTCAGATGAGGTTCTCCTAAAATGCATCCCTTTTTTTTTGTGTCTCTGTGTGTGTGTGGACTCAGTTAAAACTGAGATAATGTTTACTGATCATTCCAAAGAGGTTTTTGAGTTTACAATATAAAGCTGAAACAGCTTCAGGGAAAAAAATATCTCAACTTATAGGTGAAGTCTCAAGTAACTGGTCATAGATACTGTGAAGGTGCTATCTCCCATAAATTCAAGATCAGTACTTAGTGACCTTCATGAAATTAGGCAGTTGACTTCATAGTGGAGAAGGTATTCCAGAAAAAAGTACGGGAGGGACACATTATCTCTAGCTAAACCGATTCCACTCTGTCTCTCTCTCTCTCTCTCTCTCTCTCTCTGTAAACTAACTCCACTATCTATCTATCTCTAGCTAAACTAACACCACTCCTAGAAGCAGTGGTGTAACAGCACTCTCAGTTCCTATTCTTCAACACCAGAATGTATATTATTAAAAAAAGACAAAAAAAGAGGGATGGTAGTATTCCTCTTTGCAGGAAAAAAAGCTTCAGGAAAGTCCTGCAGTACACACAGTTGTCAGATGCTTTCACAGTGGTTGTTGTGCAAGTACAACTCTATATAAAGTATCCAAAAGAGATGGGGGGACAAAGAGTTTCTCCTATCAACTTCAATACAATTAGGATAGTCTCAAGTTTGATGTAGACCAGACAGTATTATTTCTCCCATCACTTCAGCAACAAAAGGCTGTTTATTTTTAAAGGACAGCTGCTAGAGTAGCTGTTGTTATCAAGCCCAACCACTTGTGGAGATCAGCCTGGCAGCTTTCATTCCTTCCTCCAGCCTCACTCTCCCCTCTTTGTTTCAGGAAGCCAGGATTGTTCTAATGAGCCATCATCTGGTGAGCCCACTGGCATGCTCACAAACCTCTGGCTGTCACATGGTGAGACCAAACTGAGAAGCAGAATTCATAGTTGGACTTGTGACCCTAAGCACTGCGAAGGAGAAAGGCAGCACCTCAAAGAGCAGATACAAGCAGTATCTTGTGTTTGCCAACCAATCACTCGCTGCCAAACCAGCTATGTTCCGTTCATTCAAGCTAGAAGAGCATGTCTTGCACTTCTCAGGAAGAAAGTATTAACAAAATATGATCTGAACAGTGCCCAGAGAAGAGTCAACAAGTGCCCTGAATTTAAACTTGCAAACGTATTGGCAGCACCGCATTGCAGGGTGGGGAGGAGCAGGTGGAGGCAGGTTTTCTTTTATAAACTAGTAGTCCACTTATTTTCCTGAAATGCTGACAGAAAGCCGTTGAGACATGAGCTTGATCATGAACTTATTTCCTGGTATACTGAGTTAAATCTGTTTGGGTTATTTTTTAATTTACTGTTTTAATAGCCAAACAAATGCTAGCACAGATTTGTAAGAAAGCAGTACGATAGGACAGAATAGTTTAATGATTACTTCCATGTAAACACAAAATCAACATCCCATTAAACAAACAAACAAAAAAACCCAGAAAACAAAACACCTCAGTTTCTTCTAATTCAATGCACAAGAACTCCAGCTTCTCAGAATCAGACCTGGAACACCAACTCATTAATAACCAAACATACACTGATTCTACAAAACTGCATGTATTACCATTTGATAGGTTTGTCGACTGAATTTCCACTAAAAATGTTGAGAGTGACACACTACAGATTACTTTTGCATGTTTGCAGCATAGAATGCTCTAATCCTTAAAGTCAAGATTCAAATTCTGTATTATAAGTGCCAGCTGAAAATACAGGAAAAAGAATACAACTCTAATCACGGACTAAATATTTTTATTTGTATATCAGAAAGATAAATCATGTTTACAGAGTTCATGAATTAGGTCATTTTGTGATAGCAGACAAGGAAATCTTGTTTTAAATACTGGCAATGAACAACATGCATAACCCACAGGTATGCTACCCCAAAGTGCAGTACAGCAGCCTAGTAGTTAAACGGACAGGAAGCTGCCTGTCTTAAGTTCCAGGGAGCAATTTAAAAAAAAAAAAAAAAAAAAAACCAGCAAAAACCTTTTATTATATAAGCAGAAGTAATAAGTACTACATTGAATCCTTGTATTTATAGACTCATAGAATGGGTTAGGTTGGAAGGGACCTTAAAAATCATCCAGTTCCCCGCCCCACCATGGGCAGGGACACCTTCCACTAGACCAGGTTGCTCCAAGCCCCATCCAGCCTGGCCTTGAACATTCGCAGGGAAGGAGCAGGAACAGCTTCTCTGGGCAACCTGTGCCAGTGCCTCACCACACTCATCATGAAGAATGCCTTCCTAATGTCTAATCTAAATCCCCCCTCTTTCAATCTGAAACCATTACCTCTCATCATATCACTACCCTCCCTGATCAAGAGTCCCTCCCCACCTTTCCTGTAGCCCCCTTTAAGCACTGGAAGGCCACTCTAAGATCTCCCCGGAGCCTTCTCTTTTCCAGGCTGAACAACCCCAACTCTTTCAGCCTGTCCTCACAGGGGAGGTGCTCCAGCCCCTGAGCACAAGGATGTCACGTGGGACAGTGTCAAAAGCCTTGCACAAGTCCAGGCAGACAATGTCAGTTGTTTTTCCCTTATCCACCATCACTGCAATCCCATCGTAGAAGGCCACCAAATTTGTCAGGCAGGATTTGTCCTTGGTGAAGCCATGTTGGCTGTCACCAATCACCTCCTTATTTTCCATGTGCCCTAACATATTTTCCAGGAGGATCTGCTCCACGATCTTGCCGGGCACAGAGGTAAGACTGACTGGCCCATAATTCCCAGGGTCTTCCTTTTTCCCTTTTTAAATATGGGGGCTACGTTTCCCCTTTTCCAATCGGCAGGAACTTCACCAAACCACCATGACTTCTCAAATATTCTTTCACATATAGACAAACTGTAAACTAGGTTTACATCTCATTACCTTTCTTGACTGGTTGTTTTTTTGTGTAGAAGAAGAAACACAAAACCTAACCTCTCATTCCCCCTGTCTCTGTCTCCTGTTCCTTTCACCTGCTTTCTGGTGCAGAGATTTGTTATCCCATGCTGGCAGCTAACAGTCCATACTAACTTTTTTTTTCTCCTTGAAAAAGGTCTCATTAGTCCACAAGAAGCAGCCTCTCCCTATGTTGACACCTAACAAATGCATACCAAGCACATGTAGCTCTTCCTTCAGTTTCTGGTATTGAGTAACTTTGCAAGTTTTTTCCAGTCCATCCAATGCCCAGAATTTCTCTCAGGCACTTGCTTATGAATCTGCCTGGAATCCCATCTACGGCTCTTGCAATTACACATTAATATTTAGATCGTGTTTGGCTAGAAATTTCTCAAGTCCGTTCCAGTGCAGTACTCTCTCTTAATTCCTTACATTCACGGGAAAGTTCCCCAACTTCAAAGTAACTTCCTCCTTCAGCTTTTGAACAGTTAAAATAATCCTTGCAAATGAGAAGAATGGCTCTCACTCCCTTTCTGATGTTTTTATATTGTTGTGAGGCAATGCAACTACTCTGGATCCTTGTTCTGCTTTAACTTGTCTGTCTTTAGCTTTTAGAACTCGCTGCTCAAACGATGCAATGACATCAGGAACGTTTGGCTTTTCTGGGCATCTACCACATAGCTAGGAGGCATGATCACTGTGCAATCAAGAAGCTATAGGTTACAAATCCACAGCAATACCAAACTGCTTCAAAATGCATTCATTCATTGTCACACAGGAGTACCTTGCCTTGATGACAAGGGCAAACTCCATAGGACAGTTTGAGGGTCATGTGTGTGGCCCCCTTAATTATATTCCTACATGACAGAGATCTTTTCCACCTGTCAGTAATCATTAAAAGACACTATTTCCTCCTGAACCTTAAAAATACTGGCCTTCAGGCTGGTCAGAACTCCTATCTATGACTTATTCTAAAATTAAGTGCAAACTGAATTTAAACAAAAACCACATCTATGCAAACCATCACAGTTCTTTCCTTTCACAAGTTTGGAAATAAGACTAACTTCACATTATGTTTCCAGATGATTGCATTTGAAACACTCTGGACTAAGAGGAGACAGTTCTCATGAAGAAGGATCTCTGAAACGTTTCAGTTTCAAAAAATTAACTGGCACTGGGAGTGCTTTCCAAGTGGAGCAATCGATACAAACTGGAAGGCAACGTGTCCAGCTCTACTCAGAGAACACACAAATAGCTTACAAAGACTGTAAAGCCTCTGTAGTTTGGCATAGAATAAGTAGACCCTAAGGAAATCCAAGATCTCAACCTCAGGACATACTGCAATCGTTAACTTTTATATTGACAAAGGGAACAATAACAAGTCTTAGCAATAAGTTTGGAGAATGTTTAATGCAAAGCAGAGGTCACTGACTAGGCCATCAGAACACTCCTGAGGCAATACACAAGAGTGGTATAAGACTTGGGTAAATATATGTTCATAATAAGATATTATTTGTTATAAGATGCAACAGCAAAGATGACTTATCTTGCCGGTCACTTTGGTCTGCTGACAAAGCATCCACCATTACCTGCAGATGGTAACTGCACTAAGCGAATCTTTACTATGAAGTTCTC